ACCGGCTGTTTGACTATCTATATATTAACTACCTTCCTCTCTTATGTTAGAAATAGAAGTAGTGATCATACAGGCCAAGATTTCTTTTGGTTTAAGTTTTTTGTTTTAAAAGGGTCCAAGCAGCCAGGCAGTGGTGGTGCACACCTTTAGAACCAGCACTCAGGAGGCAGAGGCAGGCAGATTTCTGAGTTCTAGACCAACATGGTCTACAGAGCGAGCTCTAGGATGATCAGGATTACACAGAGAAACTCTGTCTTGAAAGGCAGATGATAATGTATTTACTGCCATGGGTGCAATGTCTGGGAGTAGATCTGGCTTTGTAGGCAGAGCAGGATTTAGTTAGGGCTCTTTCTTCTGTTCTAGAGTTGGCTCCAGCATCAGGCGATGGAAGACAGTAGCTTCAGCCCCTGCATTAATTCTGACTTCTACCCATGAGATTCCTCTTAGACACGTAAGAAGGTTTGACTTTCTGTCATGGGTGCTAATGGGTCTGTGTAGATGTTCCCGAATGAGTCACTGTGCCTGGGGAAAGGGGATTTGATGTTTGGATTCATCAAGAGCCAGCATTTGTTCTTGTAGTTGAGAGTAGGAAATAGAAGGTGATGCCCAGAGCCCGTGTGAGGAGGGTGGAGCGAGTCGAGAGAGAGAGAGAGAGAGAGAGAGAGAGAGAGAGAGAGAGAGAGAGAGAGATTGATTTATTTTTGGGTCATCAAAGTCTCACTATTTAGCCCAGACTGGCCTTCAGCTTGCACTCTGCCTCCTCAGCCTCCTTAGTGTTGGGACTATATGGGTGTGCCACCACATGTAACTACTTATCTTGTTTTTATACATTTCCCGCAGCATCCGTGCATTCTCTTATAACTAAATGCCTTTTGTGGCTGAACACTAAAATTCTTGATTATTATTATGCAAGATATGTAAGTCTTATTTGCTAGAATTTCAAAAACATTTGGGGGTTCATTTTGATTTCTGAGACATTGTCAGCTGCTAGCTCACTGCATGCCCACTGCTGCTGGGCACTGGAGAATCAGTGACGAAGTTGGGGCTCTTCTGCCCAACTGGAGCCCGCCTTAGTAAGAAAACAGCTTAGAAAAAAGGGAAGAAGAAGAAAAAAAGAGGAGAAGAAGAAGAAAAAGGAGGAAGAAGAAGAGGAAGAAGAGGAGGAAGAAGAAAAGGATGCTAAATGCTGTGACATTCCTTTGAAGGAGTTGGTAGCAAGGGCTCTGGAGCCTGGCTGCTTGGCATGCAGTTCCTCTTCTCCTCTTCTTCCCTGTCCTGTCTTTGGCCATGCTCTTTAACCTATGTCTCTCTATTACTTCTACAGCAATGGTGGTGATAGTGAATGTGTCGGGAGGTCATTATGGTGACTAAGCTAGTGTGCATCAGGCTTAGAGACACTGTCTGGATGCAGGGGAAGGACCCTGGGAATGAGATCTCCTTTGATGATGTGAGGGAGTACTCAGCTTCTGGAACTAGAGTGACTCCCGAGGTCGGCAGGCCTGCCGAAGGATGCTTCCCTGAGGAAATAGTGTCTGAGCCCCTCCCTCATGAGCAAGTGAGAGTGAGGGGACCGAGGCATGGAATGTGTGGTGACAGGGCTGCCTGAAGAGCATCCGATTAGCCTTTGTTGTGTACATGCTGCCACTGAACGGACAGCCAGGGCCCATCTGAGAACGGTCTCTAAAGTGGCTGGCTCTAGATTGTTGAATGTGCGGTGGTTATGTAACAACACACACACCAGCCTAGTGATTCCATTCCTCACCTGCTGTCACCACAGTCATCCGGGAAACTTCAACAGCAGCCAAGTACCCAGCCTTCCTAGTCCTGCTGAATCAGAATGCCCTTGGGGAGGAGTGAGTTTGGGGTGTTTTGTAGCTGAATCCAGTGATTAGGCTGATTTGGGAAGCGCTCCCTAGTCTTGGAACAGCTCTGTTGGAACTGCTGAATTAATGGTGTATTTCTGTTGATGTAACGGGAGCTGCCACTCTGGGGTTCATAGACACATCTCCATCTGCATTTTAAAAGCCTGCAGAGTAGACTCAGTGCTGAGTTGAGGGAGAACATCTTTGGTCTGAGATCCTTAGTTATTTTCCTTTTCGTTTGTGAGTTGTACTGTGATCTTAAATAGTTTGCTTTGTCTGGCTCACGATAAAGCCCTGCTCATAAAACAAAGCAAAATCTCTCATAAACATCATCTCTATCACAAAGCTTATGACAGTGAGACCCAAGTGATTTTTTTTCTTTCCTTTTTTTTTTTTTTGTTATGAGACAAGGTTTTTCTGTAGAGGCCTGGCTGTCCAGCTGTCCTGAAACTCACTCTGTAGACCAGGCTAGCCTCAAACTCACAGAGATCCACCTGCCTCTGTCTCCCAAGTGCTGGGATTAAAGGCTTGAGCCACCACTGCCCAGGTTAAAATACTACTTTTTAGTGGGAGGGGGAATGCTTACACCAGCAGTTCTCAACCTGTAGATCGTGACCTTTTGGGGGGTTGCATATCCGATATCCTGTATATCATATATTTATATTACAGTTATGAAGTAGCAATGAAATGATGTTATGGTTGGGGGTCACCACAAGATAAGGGACTGAATTAAAGGGTCTCAGCGCTAGGAAGGTTGAGAAGCACTGGCTTACATGATAAGCAGTCATGATTATTTTTATATCTAATTCTGTGGCACACAAATCGATCATTCAAGTGTCTAAAATTACATATTTTAAGATAGTACATAAAATTTCAGCACATAGGGTATTCCCAGAATTTAGTCGTCCTGGGGTTTGGGAGATGGCTCAGTGGGTAAGAGCACTTGCTATGCAAGCATAAGGACCTGAGTTCGAATCCCTAGCACTCCTGTCAAAAACCAGGAGTGGCTGAGTGTGGCCATGACCCCAGCCTTGGGGAGACAAGGGGACCCTGAGAGTTCATGTCCAGCCAACCTAGCAGACATAGCAAGCATCTGGTTCAGCGAGAGACATTGTCTTACAGAATTCAGTCACAGGGATGGAGGAAGATACCTGGTATCCTGTTCTGTTCTCCACATGGGTGTGCACCTGCAAGCTAATGTGCATACACACACACACACACACACACACACACACACACACACACACACCACATGGGTGTGCATTGGGCTGTGCACCTGCAAGCTAATGTGCGTGCACACACACACACACACACACACACACACATACCACATGGGTGTGCACTGGGCTGTGCACCTGCAAGCTAATGTGCATGCACCACACACACACACACACACACACACACACACACACACACCACATGGGTGTGCACTGGGCTGTGCACCTGCAAGCTAATGTGTGTGCACCACACACACACACACACACACACACACACACACACCACATGGGTGTGCACTGGGCTGTGCACCTGCAAGCTAATAATGTGCATGCACCACACACACATACCCCTCCCCACACCACATGGGTGTGCACTGAGCTGTGCACCTGCAAGCTAATGTGCATGCACTAACACACACACACACACACACACACACACACACACACACACACCACATGGCAGGTGTGGGGAGGGGTTCGTTACCTCCAAAGTTGTAGGGTATTTGTAAAAATAGAAATTTGTTGTCGTTAGCTGGTAATACCCAAAGGGAAGAATTTGGGGAGCACCAGATCTAGGCTTGTCTTTCATAGCAGAGCTCTCTCAGGATATTATGTTGTTGTGTGATTCCTGATAGTTATATTAACACAGAATTCGTGTTTATAAACTGTGGGACTGAGAGGAAGAATATTTGTGCTATTTCTATAAAGAGGATTCATGAGAAGTAAACTTTCTTTTGAACCATGGAAACTAAATTATTGTTATTACAGACTCCGTATAATTGCATAAGTCATAGCCAGGCCTGAGTGTGGGTTCCAGCTGGTCGTTAGATAAGCCTCATTCTGCTTTAAGAAAAAGTCATATTACATCTGACAGGCATCTGGTGTTTCAATTAAATTCATTTCTTTGGGGCCCAAAGTGCTCTTTTGGTGTTCAGTTCACCTCGTGCCACACGTTGAGACTGTTTGCAGCCTCTCCCAACCTCCCCACACTTCCTGCTGTGTGGGCTTCGCCGTGGCACAGATGGCACTTCCTGTTCCGCTGCATCTGCTGTCAGTGCAGGCCTGCAGTTTGTAAGACTCTGGGCATTCAGGTGGGCCTCTGGCCCCACCCTAACTTCCTCATAAATGCCTGGGTGACAGCGAACGGCCAACAGCCTGGAGATGTGGGTTTAAACAGCCAAACAATCAAAAAAGCAGTGTTCGTCCTGGAGGCTGGAAGAGCTGGTCATGTCATTGCACCATTCGGCTGGAAGGTCCCTTTCTTACCCGGAAACACAGTGACGAGGACAGAGTGCCAACTATAGACAGCTGTCAAGGAAGTAGGACCCTGACATCTACAGTAACTTCAGAGAGGGTGACCTAAAACCAGGGCCTCTAACAGGAAATGCTACCGGACTGTGGTGGTGCTGAGCAGATACTGTGTCCAAGAAGTAAAGGAGCCCTTTACACAGGTTTTAGTGTGGTTCAGCCTGACACACATAGAGGGCGCTGTGTGACCTTCCGTCTGCAGTTGGGTTTTCACAGCACACCTTTGTAAGCAGTGCCAGGAGAAAGAGGTAGAATTGTACCAGAGGACCCTTACTTTCTGCTGCCCCCAGGATGACCATATTTACCTCTTTTCTTTTCTTTTTTTCCTTTGAGGTAGAGTTTCTCTGTGTACCTCTGGCTATCCTGGAACTTGCTCTGTAGACCAGGCTGACCTCAAACTCACAGAGATCTGCCTGCCTCTGCCTCCCAAGTGCTGGGATTAAAGGTGTGCACAGGCCTGGCCATATTTGCCTTCTAATGACAGGTATTACTTAATGTACCCACTCATGCCCACTTTCCCTGTGCTGAAGTCACGTCTTCACATCCTACTCTGCACTCATTGTCATGTGCTGGTGCTTGAAATTAACTCACACACTCAGGGAATACAAGCCCATTGGACTTCAGATGGTGGTTTATTCACGCTAAAGCGACTTTATGGTTTCCAACCCACTGTTAGAAAGTTTGGAGAAGTTAGTGAGCATCACTTGGCATTTCATGTGATTCAATAGAAGCCTCAGGCTGAATCAAATGTTTTCTTCTGGGACTGGACTTTTCTAGAGGCAGAAATTTAGGGAGAATACTGTTTGCTCTCCCTTTAGTGATGTGTCTCTTCACCTGCAAGTGGTAGAACTAGATCTACCCTAGGTCTTTGAAATATGCTGAAAGCGTAGCTCAGAATAAGAGGTGATGCTCAGACCACTCACTTCGTATCTCTGCTTTGTGATAACTCCATAGCCCAACTTTCTCCATGTGGTGAGAAGCTTCCAGACGATGTGCTTGGTCAATTCTGTTTTAAGAGAGGAGATTTTGAAAAACTTGTAAAATAAAATTGCATGTTTGTGGTCAGACCAAAGAGAGGGTGGGGGCAGGCGGGAGCTGACTTTTTTTTTTCCTCCCATAGTTTTTTTTTTGTTTTTTGTTTTTTTTAAACAAAACAACTAAACACTCACCTTTGGCTGCCAACTAAGGTCTGGGTCCCTCTGGAGCCGTAGGTGGTTTCTCTGTCCCCTGGTGTGGAGGTCATGTGCTGTCCTTGGAAGAAAGGCGTGGCGACAGACCAGACACTGACATCCATGTCAGTACTGTAGGCACTGAGGGCTGGAAGAGACCCAAGAGACTGTTGAATCCTGGCTGTTTGGAATCCTGAAACAAATTCTACTGGCTGGTGGCTAAACTGGAGAGAGTGGTTATTTTTAGGCCCATTGAAGATATTTGAAGCGCTCACTTGTACCAGAACTCTTCCCATTTGGTACATTCAAATTCATTCTTTCATCCCTGCCATTCTTAGATCCCAAAATATTACTTATTTTCATCCACCAAAGTGACTGTGCATTTAAACAGTGCCAACCTTATTTTAATAATGCAAAATATAATAATTTTGGGGCTTGTTTTTCCGAGGAGAAAATTTTTCCTCTAGCTGCTCCATTAAAATGTAGCGCATATAAAAACCTGAAGGAGCTGGAGGCATGGTTCAGTACGTTGTGTACTTCCCATGCTTGAGGCCCTGAGCTCACTCTCTAGTACCAACACAGACACAAACAGATACTCCTAAGGTAAAATCTTCTCCATTTCGGCATCTCATTGTGAGAGTCAGATTTTCCTCTTTGATGTAAAAGCACTACCATGGTATTACCCTAAATACTCTAAATTTATTGCTCTACACTGTAGTTCTTATGCATTGTGATGGTTTTCAAACATGTCCAGGTGCAGGATCCTGACTGTGGCATTTTTCCACTTGACTTGCCATGAGCTCGCTCTTGGGCTGAGCACCCAGGTGGGGTGCGGAGATTGACCAAGTCTTCCCTTTCTATCAGGTGATCAGACTCTGAGAGTTTGGGATGTGAAGACCGCAGGAGTCCGAATTGTGATACCAGCACATCAGACAGAGATCCTGAGCTGTGACTGGTGTAAATACAACGAGGTACAGCGTGGCTCCCCGCAGAGCGCTCCTCTGAAAGTCAACATGCCCCTTCACCTGTCTTGTTGATGTGGGTGTTGGTGATGTTTATGGACCATTAAGTTAACTTCAGGCCCTGTCACTTGTAGTGAATAAGTGACTGGCCTGCATTAGCATTAATTGGACTTAAGTGCTCCTGAAACAGGCAAAGTAAGGAATAGATAGATAGTCTTAAAAGTTCAGCAGTGCAGCCTTTCTTGTGTGCTTTGGAAAACTGCTTTACAGTGTATGTGATGTGTATGTGTGTGATTGCTCTTGACCCTGCTACTCCATGGTTTACTGTGACTTTTTTTCTTCACATGTCTGGTCAGGCTGCTGAACTGTTTATAATACAATTTTCAACTTGACAGTCCACCAGTTTTTAGGATTTTGTTTTTTCTTCCTTTTTAAACCAGACGGTTTTCATGCTTCTGTAAGATGATGATGCCCATGTGAAACTTTTTGTAAAGCTTCAGTTAAAATATCTGAGCATAAGAATTAAAAGTAGGAATATAGGAATGGATTAAATGTGTTAGTATACTATCTGTATGCTTCAAGAGGCTTTTTGGTTGAAAACTAAAAATACCTACCTTGTTTTCTCTTCCCTAGCTTTGAATTAACTTGTGAGAATTAAAAGAATGCCACACTGGCAGAATTCTTTAAATAAAAAGAAAGAAAATATGTATATTCAATAGAAGTATTTAGGCTTAAAAAAACAAACAAAACTTAAACACTTTGTTTTTTCAAACAACTCTGAGTCGTCTCCCCCCCCATGTGTTTGTTTGTGGGTGCACATGCATGGTGTGTGTGTGTGTGTGTGTGTATTTACTGAGGATTGGACTCAGGGTCCGTTCATGCTTGCTAGACAAAGGTTCTATCACTGAGCCACGTTGCCAGCCCAGTGTCTTGCCTTTTAATGCCTGGTAAGACCTCAGCGCGTGTTTAAACCTCTTAAAGAGAAAGACTGATTTGTCACAGATGTTTTAATTCCTCATCTATCTATTACTACTTGTAAAGATAAGTTAGAAAATCTACACCACTCTTTGAGACTTTGCCTCTTTCTCTTGTGTGTGGTGTTCTGTCTTATATATTAAATGTATTTAGTGTCTTTCCTCTCGAGTTATGTATTTTTGTTTTTGCTCTGAAATGACTATTTTGGTTCCTTTGTATGCTTGTTATTCAACTTTAAAAAATAGATCCTGGGTCTATATTTAACTACAAAAGTGTGTTACTGTTTCGAATGGGAATGCCTTAGTACTGTTTAATTGCAAAGATGTCATAGTTGTGTTTTGTTTCTGAATTGTTTTCAGAACTTGGTGGTGACCGGAGCAGTCGACTGTAGCTTGAGAGGCTGGGACTTAAGGAACGTGCGACAGCCTGTGTTTGAACTTCTTGGTCACACGTATGCTATTAGAAGGGTGAAAGTAAGTCCTTATTTGTTACCACAGACTGAAACGTAAGCCTCAGTGTAGTCGGTGGAGCTGTATAAAGTACTTAGGGGTGAGGTTTGTAGTGCTGACGATCAAGCCTGGGGCGGTGGACAGGCTGGGCGGGTGCTCTACTCCTGAGCTACAGCCACAGCTCTTAGTGTTCCGAGACAGACAGGGTCTCAGTGTGTAGGCCGGGTGACTTCCCAATCATAGTCCTCCTGCCTCAGCCTCCAAAGTGCTGGTATTATTGATTCTTTCTTATGGGTGCTTTTATTAGCCAATTAATGATGCTATTAGAAGCTAAAATCAGGTTATACATTTGAGTAAGCTGGGATGATGTAATTTCTCATAATGTTATATTATCCAATTGACTATTTCCTTTAACATTATTTTAGCTGTAGTAGTTTATATTTAGGGTTTATATGTTCATAATTGCCTGTTCATTGAGAGCATGTGTTTGGTGATAGGAGAGATGCTCATTTTCCCTCTGACATGATGATGTGTATAAAAGCTCACAGATGTGGGGTGTAGAACCTTTCCAGTCTGTGCACAGAAGTCAAGCTCACTCTTTGCTGCTGCTCCAGTAGGTATGGCCTCCATCGTAAGGGGACTTAATTCAGTGCCGTAGCTTCCGGTCAGGTGATTCTGCTGTGTTACTGGCATCTCCTGAGGACCAAATTTTTACACCAAGAGCTACAAAAAGTACTTGACATTTTTTCAATATGATAGTTGTGTATTTGCCCTATTTTAAATATTCCAAATTATCAAATTAATATTTTAAATTATAGTACATGGTAACATTTTACTTTCATTAGTTTTTAATTTTTTTTTATCTACTCTCTTGAGAATTTTATTCATGCATTCAAAGTATTTTGGTCATATCTACTCTTCCTCCAACTTTACCAAGACATCTGGCACATCCCCTTCCCAATTTCATGTCCTTTCCCCTTTTTCTTTCTTAATAACCCACTGAGCCCAGTTGGAGCTGCCTCTTCTCCACGGGTATAGGCCATCCAGTGGAGCCTGGGCATCCTATCAGAGAAAACGGACTCTCTCCCCCAGCAGCCATTCACTGACAATAGCTCTCAGTTAGAGATGGCCCTCATGAGGCCTCTGCCGTCGGAGCTGGCGTGTTCTCTGTCCTGGTCTCGGGCAGGTCTTCTGAAGGCAGCCACCGCTGCATGAGTCCATGAGTACCACAGCTGTGGTGTTGAGAGGACATCGTTCGACAGCATTCTTCCCCAGCCCCGGCTCTCATAGTCTCACCATCCTTCTTCTGTGTTCTCTGAACTGCGGTAGAAGGGGCTGAGACAGAGCTCCTCCTGTTTGGGCTGAACAATCCATAGTCACGTGTTCTCTGCGCTTGCGTTGTCAGTTTCTGTGATAGCCACCATCTACTGCAAAAATAAAAGGAAGCTTTTTTTTTAATGTTTTTAATAATGCTCTTATATGGGCAGGTTTTACTAGTAGAAAGATTTTTTTCTGTGTTTCAGATTTTTTTCTGAGACTGAATTAAGGTAATGCCCACTGTGTAAAATACTGTCCAGGTGTAGTTGTGGGGGTTGGACTGGGACTCAGTTGGTAGAGTGCTTGCTTAGTATAGAGCCCGGGGATTGCTCCCCATTACCACATAAACCTGGGCATGAAGGTACATGTCTGTAATCCCAGCCCTTGGAAGGCAGAAGCAGGAGGATCATGCGTTAAGATGATCCTCTACTTCTTAACGAGCTGGAGGCTGGCCTAGGCTGCCTGAGCTCCTCCTCCACCCATACAGCTGTGTAAGTGTGTGCAGCGGTTAAAATCAGATAAAGCCTGTGGTTAAGCTCCATGGCAGAGTACTTCCTCCGAATGCATGAGGCCCTTCAATCCCTAGGAGCACACACTACATATGCATAAGTCAAAGCAAACACTCATCAGATACAATTGCAATGACACTTGGTTGTTTATCATCTCTGCTGCTGCTGATGCCACTTTAACGTTACTTAGGGAAATGGATGTAATCCACAGTTTCATGGTGGCAAGGCAGGTGGCTTGAACTACCTTGGGTTGCTCTGGGATTATGGGAGCCTGCAAAGCAGCTTGCTCATATCGCCTGGTGACAGGTAAACCAGCTCATAGTCCCCACATCTATGCTTGTAGCTCAAAATTAGACAGTGAGTCCCCATGTCCAAAAGATCACACAACCTCTTCAAAAGTCCCACCAACTAGGCACCAGCTCTTCAAATGCAGGAGCCTGTCAGGGCTTTTCCCATTTAAACTGCGACACTGGACTTAAATTGAACATTTTTATCCTTGGTATCATTTTTATCCTTGGTATCATTTTTCATGAGCTATGAGATATAAATACCATTAAATTATTTTAAAATTTGTATTTAACATTAAGTGATTATTTTGCTGCAGAGTGTGTGAACATCAAATGTATTCATATGATGGGCAAATTCTGTAGTTGTCTCTCTATATACTACCATACACTTCAGTTCTCTATATTGATAGAGTCATGTTTAGGTAGCTAGTAAGAATTTGTATTTATTTATTTATTTTTCAAAATAACAGCATTTAGGAGTACATGTTACAAATTATCTCTATGAAACTTGAGGGATTTTCTTTGGAGAATGTAAAATAAAAGTTTTGCTATAAATGGATACTTGAAAGGTCAAAGTGAGTATGTGCGGCCCAGGAAGTCACAATTTGAAGTGACATTCCTGGGTATGTCCCGGTTGGTTGTGCTTATGGAGTGCCTGTTGCAGCAGCAGCCTGTGACCACACCTGACTGTTTTCTCCTGCAGTTTTCGCCATTCCATGCAACAGTGCTGGCCTCCTGTTCCTATGACTTCACTGTAAGGTACCGAGATTTTAAATACGTTCTGTGGACAACGTCAAGTAGTATTTGTGTCTGTGCTAACCACTGTGCCTTTCCTGCCTCTCCCTCCGGACTGGTCACTCAGTGCCACATCCTCTCTTTCTGTGTGCTCTAAAGTCAGTCTTGGTTCGTGTGAGGATCTAAGCATTGAGCTTACACTGGCCTTGTTGCATTAACCCCCCAGAGCTCCTCTCCCCTTCCTTCTCAGTCAGTGTTTGATCTGGCAGGATTCCATGACAGTCTTCGTGTAGTGTGTCCTTCTGATAGAACAGATTGAGGCGGTGCCGGGAGAGAAAGTACACGCCTCTAACTTGCTTGTCTGGATGGAGCCCATGTAAGAATGCAAATGGGCTGGAAAGGTGGCTCAGCAGTTTAGAACACTGGCTGCTCTTCTAGAGGACCCAGGTTCAATTCCCAGCACCTACATGACAACGCATACCTGTCTGTAACTCCACACAGATATATATGCAAGAGAAACACCATGAACATAAAATAAAAATAAATTACATATATTTTAAAAAAGAATGTGGACGAACTGGGGAATAGATTCACATTATAGCCAGGTTGGGGGCGGGTATTGTTTATTGGTCTTGCCCCATGTACCCGGTCTACCTGTGAACTCCATGTGCAGCTGAGGATGACATTGCACTCCTGATCCTCTTACTCCTGCCTCCCTAATGCTGGGATTGAAGACATGAGCCACCACACCCAGCCACATTTTGTTTTTAAGTGTTGTATATAAAGTAGTAAGGCATGATTACAGAGTTTTTAGTCTGTAGTGATACTGGAGTTTTTAGAAAACAGCATCAGTGGACCGGAGGAAAACTTGTTGCTTGCTTGCCATCAACCCCAATCATTTCCAGATTGACACTGTGGATCTGTCGGTCGCCCGCTGACAGAGTTGTGTATGTGGGTCTTAAAGTCCATTAACTTACTGATAATGGAGTCTGCAAGAATGAGTGAGCTAAGTGGAGATGAGTGTGTGGGAGACTGAGCAGGACACTGTTTGCAGGAGAGAGTTAATGTTGGTAGGAAGAAGGGTGCATTCCTCTGAAGGTCGGAAGAGGCTCCAGAGCAGTATATCACAGAAGCTGCTTGGAAAGGATCGCCAATTATGTCTGGTGTCTCAGCCTGGCTGAGCAGGATGCAGAGGAGACTCAGAATCTTCTCTGTCACATCTTGTCACTTGTGTGACTCAAGGGATTTCCAGATGAGGATCTTGACTTTGGATTTCTAAAGTTTTCTGTGTCTGAAACTGATCACCTTCACCAACTGAGGTTGCATATTGATCTTTTGATGATCTTGTTGCTATTCTTATAGAGCAGTTAGCATGGTGGGTGTTATATTGAAACTATGATGTATAGTTATTTTAGTATGTAACATGTAAGTTTGTGTTACATTTAAGTATGTGTACATCATATCTAACAGGAGCTTTAAGTCTTTTACTTGTATGGTAGGTCATGTCTCAGTAGGTCATAAAAGTTATAAAACTAATATGTAATCTCAGGTGTAGAGTACCTGGTGCTTTCAAATTTGTTACTGCATTTATTTATATGCATGTGGGGGGCACATGTTTGGAAATTAGAAGACAACTTGGGGGTTCTGGGAAGACCCGGGATCAGGCTCAGATCAGGTCGTGGGCTTGGGTGCAGGAGCCTTCCCCTGCTCAGCCGTCTCAGCCCCGTCACAGTACATTATTTCATCAAGTTTAAGTTGAGTCAGAACTCCAGACTTTATAAAAAATGCTCATAAGATATGCCTTGTCTTAGGCTGGTTCTGCTTAAGATTTTTATTTTATTGTTGTATGAAAGCAGTGTGTCTTCAGCAGAAACTGTACTTTGCATTTTAGCTCTTCCTGGACTAGCAGTATGGTCCAATACTCTCTTTAAAAAAAAATTTAAAAATACAATTTTAGTAGCAAATATTTTTCTTTTTAATTAAGATTTTCTTAAAATATAATTACATCATTTTATTCCTTCCCTTTCCTCTGTCTAACCTTTTCCATGTCACTGTCACATTTTCTCCCAAATTGATGACTTCTTTTCTTTGATTATTATTGCTACATGTATGTAAATGCATAGACATACACACACAGTCTGTTTAGTGTGACTTGTGAGGATATAAACTTTAGGGCTGATCACTTTGCCGATCTTCTCTTTCAATGCTGGTCAGCAGTAGAGAGCCAGAGCCCCTGTGGCCCTGTGACCTCCTGGAGGAGCAGACACAACAGCGACCTTGGGAGGTTAGGTGGATTCCGAATGTTAAATACATTTTCACCTTACAGTATTTGCAGTTTGTGATGAGTTTACCAGGACATAACCTCATTGTGATGTAATCTCTTTACATTGATGCTTCTAAATTTCACTCAAGACATACTAAGTCCGAAGTGCTTCCTAGAGGGGCTGGTGGGACGGCTCAGCAGGGGAAGCCTGCCCCCAGCCTGGTGCCTGGAGCGCGTTCTCTGGGACCTATATGGTGGAAGGAGAGAACCAACTCCTGTAGGTTGTCCTTTGACCTCTTCATATAAGCCATCCCCAACAAGTAATAACTTGTAATAAAAATTAAAAATGGTTTATAGTACATTCTTTATTACCATCAGAGATTTCAGCATATTACTTGTTTCCTATTAGACTCTCTGCTAGGCTAATTCTTTATCCTGCTAAGCCAGATTGCTGTACTAGCAATACATAAGCATGATTTGAGATTTAAGTGCTTGTTTTTTGTTTCATACCAAGTATATCAGCCATTTCATAAACAAAATCAGCAAGTTAAGTTTGTGGTATGTTTGACAACCTAAAACAAGCCATCCAATGATGATTTTTTTATTAGAAAGATCAACATAGGCCGGGCGGTGGTGGCACACGCCTTTAGTCCCAGCTCTTGGGAGGCAGAGCCAGGCGGATCTTTGTGAGTTTGAGACCAGCCTGGTCTACAGAGCGAGATTCAGGAAAGGCACCAAAACTACACAGAGAAACCTTGTCTCAAGAAAAAAATAAAAAATAAAAGAAAGAAAGAAAGATCAATATGCTGTCTTCTGTGTTGTAACAAATATGTATCAAGTAGTTACATTTTCATAGTTAAGCTAAAATGATCATTCTAGCCTCAGAGTTAACACTTTAGATTCTTGATATTTTCGTAGATATTTCTTTAAAATATTTCTTTATGTGGCCTTCAGTAGTAATAAATCAAACCAAAACTTAATTTTTTTAAGAGATATATTTTGGCAAGAAAAATATGGTAAGAATTTAATGCTGTTAATATCAAACTGTTTGTACTCATGTTCTACATGATGTCTCTCTTAACCTAGCAGTATCAATGTTTGAGTCCTTTACAGTTACAAAATTGTATAGCTGTTGTGATGGTTTGAATGAAAACAGTCCCCACAGGCAAGTATGTTTAAATACTTGGTCCCCAGTTGGTGGAACTGTTTGGCAAGAACTAAGAGGTGTGGCCTTATTGGAGGAGATGTGTCATTGGGGACAGGCTTTGGGGTTTCAAAGCCTGCACCATTTCCAGTTAGCTCATTGTTTTCTCTTTGTGGATAAGGATGTTAGCGCTCAGCTCCTGCTCTAGCACCATGCCTACCTGCCTAATGCCATGCTTCTGGCCAGGATGTCATGTCCTCCAGCCCTCTGGAATTGTAGGCCCCCAACTGAATGCTTTCTTTTATAAGTTGCCTTGGTTAAGTTAGCCCAGCAATAGAAAAGTAACTAAGACAGATGTATCTAGCCTTAAAAGTCACAGGTATTTATAGATCTGATATTATCTACCAGGCATTGTAATCGACAGATTGAAGTATGTGGCTGAGGAAATGTATAGTTACTTACAATTTTTATTTATTTTGTTTTTAACTTTTCTTGTTGCTGTGATGAAATACCTGTCAAGATACAGCCTCAGGGCTGTAAGAAAGGTGTCCTTGCTTTGCAGTTAGAGGAAGGACAGTCAGCATAGCGGCAGGACAGTGGGGCAGCTGTTCACATTGTGTCTACCGACAGTCAGGAAGCCGAGGAAGGACTGGAGGTTCCTGGAGCTAAGAAGCCTTAAGGCCTGCCTTAGCACCCCACTTGTTCCAGATGCTCCAACGAGGTCCCACTTCAAGGCCCATCCCAGCTGGGGTCCAAGTGTTCAGAGACATGAACCTATAGAGGACAGTTTACATTCAAGCTATGGCAGAGAATGATTAAAAAAGGGGGGGAGGGCGTGGAGAGGAGAAGCAGGCTTCAGCCTGCCAGTTTTGTTGGCATAGTAAGAGATACGTAGTCACAGATACAGATGGAGGATAATTGAAGACATCCTCGTCATAAAATCATTAGGGATGGCATGTACTTGAGTGTCCTCATAATGGAGGCTGGCCGTCAACTAGCTATATAAACTTGAGCAAGTTACAGGAAACCTTATGGCCTAGATTCCCATCTATAACATAGAGATGGTGGAACATACAGCATGGGATTGTCGTGATGATCCAGGGAACTGACACACACGGATACTGACACACTAGGTGCTACCTCAGTGTCCTGTGATCATCAGCCTTACTGCGGGACCGGTGGTCACAGAGGCCCCCTGTCTCTTTGAACTTAAGGCCCATCTCAACTCTGTCTTCAAGGGTGAAGTGTAGTCACTTATTATAGAGAAGGAAAAACGGCCCACACCTGGCCTGTTGATGCCCTCTCCCCTTGGAGTTGGGAGAGAAGTAAAGCCGGGGTAGGAAGATGCAGAGAGCCAGTCCCGCCCCCCCCCCCCCCCCCCAACCCCCTTACTCTTTGGAGAACTTAGCGAACACTCTCTGGGCTAGACATTGCTAATGTGGGGCTATTGGACCTTTGAGTCAGTTGATTTGAGATGAAAGGCTGCCTCCTCCATTTGCTAGTCATGGATTAAAGGAAATGATACCTCCTTTGCAGGAATGTTTGGAGGATTGGATGAGGGAGTACCCAAAATGTACTTGGCACATTAGTGTCTACAAAATAGCAGATGTTCTAAAT